ATATACTTTATTAATGATGTATAATAATTGTAGCATAATACTATTTTTATATATTAATATTTCTAATTTATATATGTGTATATGTATTATTAATTTAACAAGTTTGATATGAAATGACAATGAAATAAAATGTATATGGAGACAAATAATGTTCTACTGTCAAGTGACTTGGGTTCAAATTTCCTCTATATCTTTTTTAATTAATTTTATTTGGATATTTTTTTAATACAAGAGAAAATAAGAATTAATTCATAATTTTAATTAAAAATATATTTTTCAAAAAATTTACTAATATTTTGCTATTATATTTTAATTTTTAAAACTATTATTATTTTTCACAGTATATTTTAGTTTTAAAATTATTATTATTTTAATAAAAGAATATAATAATATTAATAGATGAATAATTTATAATAATAATAATAATAATTTTTTTTTTAAGAATCCTAGAAATCTATCCAAACGAGAGATTTCATATCGTATCATTTATTCATAATTTTTAATAACAATCCAACAAAATTGAAGTCTAAGGATTTTTTAATATCTTAGAATTTTAAAATATATTGAATATCTCAAAATTTTTAATAATATGCATTCAATACCTAAATCTAAATACATCCCTAAGTTATTTACATAAATATATGAATCCAAAACTTTGAATTGCCGCTTAGAAAAGAAAATTATACTCCCTCTGTTATCCAATTGTATGCTTATTTGACCGGACACGGATTTTAAGAAAAATATCAAAAAAAAGTGGTATTTTTTTACTAAAAAAAACGAGAATAAATTTGGATGACAAAAAAAAGTGAGAATAAATTTAAATAACAGAGGGAGTATTAATTACTAATGGATAAAAAATTACAAACCTTTATAATCTAGAATTCGTTTTTATACAAATTTCTAATAAAATGTATGTATATCATTAATACATTTATATCTATGTTTGGTCATGGATCCAAATCCAAATCTATATAATGACTGATGCATGTCAAGAGCTTGACAACTTGTCAGTTACATTTTTATATTTTCAAATTAATTAATAATATTAGAAGAAAGAACTTATTCATGTGAATTCACACATAGGGGGTTGGTGATTTCAGGACAATTGACTACATTTCACATGATAATTGCCTGTTCTTAATAATAATAATAATAACTTACTTCAGAATCTGTGTAAAAAATGTTTAAATAAAAAGCTGTTGTGAATAAGATTTTTTATATGATTATTTGAAATAATGTAGGGTATGTTTCTTCTAAATGGATTTTAAAAAATTTGATTTCAATTTGATATTAAATAATGTATGATGAGATGTTTTGTGAGAAAAAAATTTATGATGCAAATAGTAGAAAACTTAAACTGTGGAGGCTAAAGAAACAAAATCATAATTGACATGTGTGTATACATGAGATCAATTACAAAATTTTTGTTAACTGTACTATCTAATTCGAGTTTATAAGGACGTGTGTTTGCTTTGTGTTTTTTAATAGATTTTTTTTTTTTTTTATGTTTAAATATGAAGAATTGTATTAATAATATAAAAAAATTGATATTTTTTGCATAAAGTTTTAGTTTTTGATAAATTGATAGAATATACTCCATCCGTCCCATTTGATAGAGGTCATTTGAAATTTTATAGTAAATTAAAAAATAATAGTATTTTATTTTTCTTATGACGTGAAAATCCGCAGCGCTGCCCGAAAGTGCGCACTGGGTAAACCCTCGGCCGAATCTAATACCCTGCAAACTAAGCTTGACAGACAAGTCACACTAGTCGAACCATATGTAGCAAGTAACCTACAACGTTGGAGATTTGAACCTATAACCTCACGGTGACACATCAAACCCCTACTTAGAGTTTTGATAATGGAGTGAAACTCACTTGGTGCAGCCTTTTCATTTCTTTTTTAATTTTTTTTTCTATTTTTCTATTTAAATTAAAAATGACGGGGTTCGTACACAGACCCTTGGATTATAATTATTTGATATTTATTTATATTATAATTTAATAAAATATATACAATATATATTTATTGTGTAGAAAATAAAAAATTTTATAGTAACAAATGGATAATATTTAAAAAATATATATTAATATAATATAAATTCATAGTCAAATCATATCATTATTAATTTTATCAATTAAAGTTAATATACATTTATATTATTATATTCATTACCCATCAAATTAATACATATCAAAACTCTCCCAATTCAAATCAAACATACAAAAGAAACACATAAATTTAAATAAAAATCAAACTCAAACCCATTTTTTACCAAACCACACTAAAGAAACACATCTTAAGATATTTTGATATTTTTCTCATTTGACTTTATGTAAAAAATATTTTATGTGCAATGATATTTTTGTATTTAAATAAAAGTTAAAATATTTTTGTATTAGTGTATAATTATTTTTTACTAAAAGGAAGAAAGTGATACTTTTGAGTAAAACATACGAAAATGATAAAAATGATACTTTAAATTAGGACGGAAGGATTATTCCTCCATCCCAGAACTATAGTCCTATTTTGTGTTGGGCTCATATTTAAGAAATAATAATATTATATTGATTGTTGGTAAAAAATATAAGTAAAAACTTTTTTGACTCTTATAAGTGTATTACTGTAAAAAAAAAATGATGATATTTGTGTAATAATAATGAAAAATATGAGTAGTTTTATGGTGATACGAGTATTTATAAAAATAAGACTATTATTTTAGGACGGACAAAAATAATAAACAAAACTATTGTATTAGGACGGATGGAGTATATATTATGCATAATTATGTGTATTTATTATTTTTTATAATGTTGATAAAAAATGGTGTCAATAAAAAATGTTATTGTTGCGCAATATTTAAAATGATATCGCACAAATAAATCAATATTATTTACTCTATACAATTTTCGATAAAAATATACAATTTCATCTAACAAAACAACATATCAAAATAATACTTTATAAACAAAAATTTAGATCAACACTCCATTTCAAATTAGAGCTCCACAATCATTCATCCTTTTTTCTAGCAAATCAAGAGACAAAACTGTTGGTATGAAATTTTGTTTGATGTATCGGAGATCAGCAGAATGTTCATACAATCAACTGGTGCATGTGTGGTTGCTAAATTGTCCACGTTCGCTGCTGATGTGGAATGTTTTTCCACATATTTTTTGAGTTGGAAAGTCTTTTTAAAAGATAAAAAGACAATTGAAATCCTGTTTGTTTCATTGACAAAAGGCACAAGGAAAAATGTGTAAGTATTGATTTGGAAAGTAAAAAAAAGAGATGAAGAAAGAAGGACACTCTACCCCTTTTGGATCCGTAGACATATCAAACAACCAAGCTGATGCCTGCATGTCTTCAAATCTGCTCTTGATGTCGGTTCAAGGTCTGATATATTGGTCTTTGAAAAGCTCCAACATTAGATAATTGGTTATCTCAATGTTTGACTGTAGTCAAATACAAAATACTTTGTCCCTCGTTCTTGCATCAAAATGGAAAGTAAAAAAGAGATGAAGGGAGACTCAATCCGTTTTGGATCTATAGAAAGATCAAACAACCAATCAGCTATCTGCAAGACTGCAACTTGCTCGAGTTCATGGTTCAAGGTCTGATGTTCTGGTCACTGAAAAATCTTCAAAGTGAGACAAAATATATATCTCACTGTCCTACTTCATATAAAGACAAAAGAGCTTTGTTCCACGAAATTTCATGCAAAAGAAAAGTAAAAAAAAATAAAGGAATAAAAAGGTTTCTAACACCTATTACCAAAAGAGGTAATATTTGACTATCTTTTCCTTCTAGGCATTTATGTGGATTTTGACATATCAATTTCGTCTCATATGCATAGATATGTGTCATGAGATGTGCCTTGGTATATTTGACCATTTTGAGTCCATTTGTTGTCGAATGTTGATTGGAAGAAGTGAGTTTGTGTATGTATATATACACTACCCATGGAAATGTGATAAAAGGGGCTTTCATAATTTTCTAAGAGAGAAAATGTAATATTTTTCGTGTTCTAAGTAGAGAGTGAGAACTTGAAGAGTTCTACTCATCTTCATCGAAAGGAAAGCCTAAATTCCATGGTGTAATAGTTGAGTTTCACTTTTAGTTGAGAGGGAGTGTTCTCTTTTATTTTGAGAGATTTTTGTGGGAGGTTATACCATGTTTTGAGTAGAAAAATCTGGGAGGAGTTTTACGTATTACATTGGGTATGAACCATGTCGAAGTTGTTGGAGATTTGAAGCCAAAAATCACATCATGAAGGAATCACAACAGTCTGCTGTGTTGACAAACTGCCGAGTATTTGTTTGGTTCAAAGGGGATTCCAAGGAGAGTTGAAGGAGGAGGAGGTGACAAGCTGCCTACAACAACGTCCCATTTCAGAGCACAACCAATGGAGGTCGAGGCCTTGCATGCTTGCCTCTGCGAAGGAAAATACACTTGTATGTGGTAGGGAAACCAATACATTTAAGTTGGGTTTGTGGTTGTTGATTGTGAAGTGTGTGTGAGGAGCTTTTGTATCTTGTTCTTGCTTTACTAATAGTGGAATTGCCTTGGGTTGGTACCCCTAGACGTAGGCCGGTTGAGGGCTGAACTGGGTCAACAAACGCTGATGTGCTATTTGTTTCGATTCACTCTGCACTGCACTTTTTGTTGTTCGAATCTCAAGTAGACAACATCACTCTGAACACAACAAATCTTTTAAGTTTGCATTTCATTCCGCTGGATCGTTCAATAGTGATCAAAATTGAAGTTTAAGGTATATAAATACATCTTGTGGGACCATCAAAACCTACACAGTGGTCTCTTTAAAGAAGAAAAGGATAGAAGAAAGCTATGAAAACCAGAATATTAACTTTAAAACAATAAAAAATTGAATTAAAAAAAAAAAAAAAAAGCGAAATTGATGATTACAACCAATAATTATAGCTCACTCACACCAAAATAAATAGTGAAATGAAAACGTGAATTCGAAGAAAGGATTACATAAAATTATTTAAAACAAATATGCAATTAATCCCCTTCTGTGCATTATATTATACTATATTTCATTTTCTCAAAGCAATATTTAATTTATAGAAGAAGAAAGGGTATTTGCATATTTCTTTCCATAAACTTATCTCGAAAAAAGCACAATTTTTTGAGTTCGTAATATAATTCATATTTAAGTAATAAAAATATCTTCAGAAATACTGTCGAGCTTCGGCAGCCACAGCCCAGCATCGCTTTGGCTCCGTACACGCCGTCCCCGCCGGCGGGAGGCCACCGGATATTTTTCTGGCGAGTTTTTCTTGAGAATTTTGTCGGCCTTTCCTGTAGGCAGTGAGGAGGCGGGGATCAAGAAATATACGGATCCACGCTTGAGCTCGGCGTCGGGGGAGAGGATGAGAATGCGGCGGCGGCGGCGGCCGTGGGGGGTGGCGGCGGCGGCGGCGGGCTTGGTGAGGACATGGTTGGGGTTGGTGTTGAGGACGTCGGCAGCGGTGATGCGGCGGCTGGCTGTGAGCTCGTCTATGGAGCCGTTGAGATGGACGATCCGGATGAGATCGAGCGCCCCGCAGGGAAGAACACAGGCCACCCAGCATCTCACGCTGTTAGCGTTGCCCATTCATATGAATAAATTAATTAAATTCCCAAATGGATCGATCAGACCCGTACCGGAGCGGACCTTCTTGTGTTTCTATATATATATATATATGTCATCCTGGATTAACTGTTCCTGGCTTAAAATAATCAAATTATTATTATTATTATTATTAGGGATAAATACAGTTCGATTTTCATGCGGACAGGGTTAAGTCATTGGATAACATATATTTAATAGCACATTATAACATATTATGACAGAGCATAATATATAAAATATAAGTATGTTATTAATTTTAACACAATATATATATGTACAGTATTGTGCACCATAAAAATTGTATAGCACATACTTTTATAATACACTATTGTCCCATAGTATATATTTTATATACTCCCTCCGTCTCATAACAAAGTATCCATTTTTCCATTTTAGTTCATCCCAAAACAAAGTATCCATTTCTTTTTTTTTTTTAACTGTACTTTCTACGTAACATTACAAATACCCTTACAATTTACAATATATTACACAAATGTCATTACTTTTATATCATACATATTAATAAGGTTATTTTAGTCATTTCTATTTTATTCCTACTATATCCCAATATAATACTAATATACCTAAAACTACGCGTAAAAAGTAATTGGATATTTATTAATGGGACGGAGGGAGTACATAGTTTGTTTTATTGATTTTTTATGACGAAATATAGTTTTAGTCTCATATGTGACACTCATTATTATTTTGATTCTTTAAATAAAGATTGTATAAAAATAATCTTATATGCAGTTACGGAAAAATAAATATATATATATAGCATCGAAATATTGTTACATATATTGATATATTACACCTACCAAACTTATATGGACTAGCCACATAATAAGTTTTAGCATCAAATATTCCTATTAATATATATTTTTTATATTTATGATAAGATGATTTGTGAAAGGATGATGGAATGTTTTGATGTAATTTGAAAAATTTTGATTTAAATTTGGTATTAAAATAATAGATGATAGGATGTTTTGTGAGGGAATTTTTATTTTTTCTTTTTCAAGAAACACAGTTTTAATAGTAAAAGCCTAGAGTTTAGGGTTAAAGAAACAAACCCTTAAATATTTGTTTAGAAAATTGATTTTTCTTCAAAGTTCAGTGTTAAAAATTCTTTTATGACTAATTCATATTAGCTTCAAAAATATCTTGTTAGCATGCGTCATGATATTTTAGCATCACAAGATATTTTGAGAAATTAAGGATTATATTAGAAACTATTTCTATGTTGATTTTAGTTAAAAGGATAAAAATAAAAATACATTTATCCCTTATGAGTATTATTATTGCACACATATATATGTATGTATAATAATTTGGGCTTAATCATTGACTTTATTTTTATTATTGAATGGCTGGCTTACATGGGGATCTACATTAATGCCTAAAATGCCCTTGCATTATTGAGTCCAGTAATGTATTGGATATTTTTAATTTGATGATAGTTAATGAATGACATGTGTTAATGATCCTTCTTGCTTGCTTGCTTGCATCTCTTGTTCCAAAATTAAGTGTTCCCAATTTTTTATATTACATGTCATTAAATATTACCACTACTTGTGCTTATAATACTATATTATAATTCTTTTTTAAAAAAAGTAATAATATATTGGATAATTTGTTCCAATGAGTTTTCTCTCTTTGGCTAGGACATCACAATTAACAAGTTTTAGTTGTGCACATTCTTATTTTGTTGGGATTGTAGGTTGTGAAGATATTTTATTGCTTTCTTCTTTTTTTATTTTATATAAGTACATTACTTGAAGATTGAACTACAACTTGTAAAAGTAATAATTCTAAAAGTATCTAGGATGGAATCCAAAATAGCAACAAAATGATATATATTGTAATTTGGGTCAATCGTGTACCCAAAATTAGGGAGTGGTTGGTTGTCATCTCAGAGAAGAGTTGGCACAGACAGATTCGCAGAAATTTCCCCCCTCATTTGTTATGTTACAATTTAATCCCATCTCATGGGGTGGGTCTTTAATTTGCACTAAATCAATCCATCATTTCACTGTTACCGTCACTTCTCTCTCCTCCTCCTTTTCAGCTTATATTATATTAAAATAATATAATTAATCTAAAAAAATATTATAAGGAAAAAAATCGAGCTATGCCGAAAACGGCTTTTAGAACTTTGCTGAAAAATATAGTGAATGAGAAGGAATGAAAATAGACACTCCACTCCACCCAAGGGAAATAAGGCAGGTTATAACCATGGTATTCAAATCAGACATTAATTCCATAATTAAAATTGGATAGACTTGGTAATAAATAAATTTGACTTAATGATTAGACTTGCGGCATGCACTCTATAGGCTTTCGTGGACTCGCTCAAGACTTTGTTCCCCAAGACCCATAAGGCCATTACCTTCCACCTGTGATCTATATCTTTGTCATACTATTGTGCCAACTTAATTGAATACAATTGTGTTTAAACACATTATTAAGGGATGTAATTAACAATATCGAATAGTTTCCTAACATTTAATTTAATTACCAAAAATCATTAACTTAACCCACAAAATATATTTCTTAAGCTCAAATTATTGAAATATATCAATTAATTTAATTATTCAGTTAGATGCATTTCTATTTACCAAATAAGTAATTTTGAAAAAATTTCAATTTATTTTTCTATCGATTATAAATAATTAATTCCTATTGATTTTCCTTCTTTCACACACTCTCACTTTGTTTGTAAAAATTATCTTCTCATTCTCTTTCTCTCTCTTCTCCCCACTTCTTCTATTTCTCCCTATGAATGTGGAGTTCTTTGCTTCTGTCTTCCGCGTGAAGCTTGAGATTTTGATTTTTTCTCTTTGCTTTGATTATGTGAACTTAGAAGGATTCTAGCAAGAAATCTAGCGACAAGACGTAAATTTAAAATTTTGTTGGCATTATCTTTCAGGTTTTCTGGTGTTTTTCCCATGTCTGCATTTGTGTGGTATGTAGTTTCCACTATAGATTGATTTACCAAACTTATTGTTCTCATCGATTTGTAGACCTATTGTTCTCCTGTCAATTATTTTTGGGTTTGCTTTTGTGAGAAACAAGGGCCATGAGTATTTGATTGGGTTGTTTATGGCTGGCGATCGCGATGAGGGTTTTCGTTTCATTTATTCATAGTTAGGTGATTTTAGAAATTGAGTTTTGTAATCTTATTATTTTCACTTATATATAGCATATAAACTTTTTTTAATTTGTGAATATTGATATTTTTGTTTTATTTTTACTAAGTTTACCATACAAAACTAAAGTTTTTGGCGCATATTTCATTATAGTGGTATCATAGCCTTTGAGTATGTTTGTTTTTCTACCGTAAAAAAGTTGACAATATTTATTTAGTTCTATTTACTTTTAGATCCAAAGAGAGCTTTTTTTTTTTTTTTTTTTTTTTTTTTTTTTAAGTTAGATCTCTAAGATCCACCCGTATTTATTTTAGATCTTGGAAGATCTGGTATAATATTTGTGTTTTGATCCATCAAAAGTCTAGATCGGTAAATATTTGGTTCTTAACTACAAATATTATTGTCGTGCTTTCTTTTTTTTCATTTTCTTATAAAGCTTATTTCTTCAATCATTTAATTTGGATCTGAAAGCTTCAAACTAATATTATTTTTAATATGATCAAAGGAAGTTCATATGGTTTAAAATCATAGGTAAGTGTTTTTGTAAATACATATCTTATGTTTTGTTGATTGTTACCTTAAATCTCTCAAAAAGGTTTTGTAAAGCCATATTTGAAAGGCTACGACATACAAAACCACATTGGTGATCATATACACGAGATTTTAGTATTTTAATAAACCTTCATCAAGGTTAATATGGTATGTGCTAATTGTAATATGTTTTTAGAACAAAAACAAGAAACTTGTATTTGTAGTTTTTGTTAGATATCAATACATGGTAACGGTGTTTGGAGTTGGTTAAAAAAAATGTATATTCTTAAAATTGGTTGTTTGTTAGATCCGTGATGTTACATTGTGTTTTGTGGCCTTATTTCTTCAATTTCTTGTTTGTCTTTATGTTTATAAATTATCCGAAAAGATCCTTTTGACATTAAGTACCATTGACCCTGAACCTTGAGTGTAGCATGAAACATGTGGTATTAAAGGATTCTTGATTAAGATTTTTAATTGTTTGCTTTAATATTTTGTTTTGTGTATGATATTTTTAGTAACATGTCAATTTTATTGTGCACCGTCTTTTTGTGTTGAGTAAATTTTGAAAAAGGACCAATACATTTGCTTTATATAATATTCAATATTTTGATCATAAAACTATTTTTTCCTTTATTGAAATAAAAAAGTAAGAATTGTTTTAATAACTCGAATATCAATAAAAGTAGTTGAAGTTGATCACCCATCTTATGTTTCTATTGAAAATAAGGTTGAGGTAGATAAGTTAGTTTCATCTTGCATTATTTTAAACTTGGTTAATCATGTAAGCAGAAAATAATTAGGCAAGAGCCCACTAAATATATATTGGATATGTTAGATAATTTATATATTAAAATTTCTCTTTCTAAATAGAATACAATTGCTCGAAAAATTTTGATTAGTAAACTTATATTTGTTCTTCCAAAATCATAAAATATATTTTACAAAACAATTGTCTATGTAAATGTCATTCATAAGTTCTCACAAGACAAGAAATAATGATATTTCATTAATTATTAAGAAAATTAAATTTGTAACTACATTATGAAAAAAAAATATATATATATATATCTAAGTAGAGAATATTCAATGATAGAAAATTGGGCACACAACTAATATCACGTGTGTTGCCAGACATGTAGACGAACAACTTTGAGCTCTTACAACTTGAGCTTTTGGAGAGAAGTTTAAACAATAAAATGACAAACAAAGTTAATTGTCTAAGTGTACAAATGAATAACATCGACCTTTTATTTATGGGAGACTTGGATTAAAATCCCTGTCAGACAAATATACTTGCAATTCAGTCCCTATTAGAAATTAGTTAGTCTGCAGTCCCTACTTTATGAATTAGGTTTGTTATAGCTCCCCAATGTGTATTTTTCCCTCAATCACCGTTATATACGCAACATGTACTCGAAATAGGTTGATCAATACTTCAAATTTTGTAATATATACCTATATTACTTCCCGCTCTACCTCTATTGTAACCTTATATACTTCTAGTTAGAAATCGCGTACCTTTTCTTTTTGTGAATTAAAAAAAAAACAATTAATTCACGATTTAATAAGGGTAAAGGCAGGAAACCTCTCATAACTCCCTTCACACCAATTTTAAACCTTTTTTCTTCAATCTCTAGGCAAACCGATGCTCTCGAACCTCCGGCAATTAAGTAACAACCGATTCGGTGCAAAAATGTGAAGAAAACAGCTGACCGCTCCCATCCCCCAAGACAAGCTCGAAGAAGTAAGTGCCAGGTTGGACCTTTTTCAAGTTTTGATTTGTTGACCTTGATATTATACCGTAGTTTGTTTGATTATTTGAGGTGTAAATCTTGGTCCCGTATTTGTATGCATTGGTTTGGTGTTGAGAAGCCCTAAGTGATCGGTGTAGTTTTATTTGTTAATCGGATTTGAAATCGTTCGTATATTTGCCCAGATACACCGAGTTGAGTGTTTTATTTTGGCACCAATTTTGGATTATTTTATTTATTTAATTTGTGATTTTTTTTAATTTTGTAGATGTACATTTTGTTTAGTTACCCGAAGTTGTATATTTTAGTTTTTTTTTATTGTTCGAGTAATGTGAACTTGTGGTATTTATTTACAAATCGGGGAAAGAATACAAATAGGTTATCATCCGATTTGCAGTACCATGTTTTCATAACGAGATGGAGAAAATGAAGAAATGCATATTGGATGAACATATTAGAGCCATCAAAATGACTCAATTCGGCCATTTTCTGGACTGCCCAAAGATAAGGTTGTAGTGGCACCGCCTGCTTGCCTTGATTAATAACTTTAGCCCGGAGCCCACGTCATTCAACATCGGAGTTGACATTATGGAAACAACATGATATTATTTTTACTATTTGTTCCCACATGTTAGCATCACCAGATAGCTCATTCCATTACCAACATGCTTGCAAATACATATATATACATGTAATATTAACATATATAACTTTATAATAGCAATGTAGTTGTGTGGGATGTAGAAATTTGATGTTTAGTTGTGCTATATAGGTAATGGTTGTACTTAGCAACAACAACGGGTTTTAATCAGCTATTAGAATTCCAAATGATTACCCAATAATAGAATTCAAATACCATGGAAATAACATGATATTATATTTATCATTCGTTCTTACAGAGTTGCATCATCAAATACCTCAGTGCATTATTAATATACCTGCAGAATATATTTACAAACATCTAATATTTCACTATATACTTGTGTAATAGAGTTACATACCACTTACTACAATAAAATATACCAGCAGATCCAACCGGTTATATCCTATTGACGCATAAAGTAATTATATTACACCCATTAAATAACGTTACATGCTTTGTAATCACGCTATTGAAAAATATGGCATAAGCTGTTGAATGTAAATGTATCATGCCCAAACCTTTCCACCAAGTATATATGCCCTGGTAACTTGTGTTTCAGAAACCGACCGTTCTTTGTTTGAAACATTCAATTATTGTCGGTAATCAGGGATGAATGTATCATTATAGTATTCCCGTGAATCCCAGAAATCTACGTAATGAATAAACAATACATATTTACCGTAGATGACTGAACAAGTCATAAAGGACTTAGTTAAACTATGTTGGTTGTTACTTGTACATGCTTTATTGTTTTGCTATTGAAAAGTGTGGGCATGTGCTGTCAAATGTAAACGTACTGTGCCCAAATTTTTCCATCGGGGTTGGGAGAAGAAGTACTCACACCGAGTTCGAGAATTGGCCATTCCATAAGAGGATCAACTGCAATCAAACACATTAATGGATACTTGCTACTACATAGATAATACCTAAGCAACCATTATTTATACCTTAAATGTCGGTGTTTGTACCCGGAGCACATACTAGCATACCTGCATCAAATACCGATATGCCCTAGCGCAGATCTTACGTAACGATAAAGTTGGTATCACATGCTTCAATATCGGGTATATATACCCTGGTAACTTGTGCTTAGGTAACCAACCATTTTCGGTTCAAAATATTCACTTATTGTCGGTAATCAGGGATGAATTCATTGTAATAATATTTCCATACACTCTGAATTATATAAAGAGATAAACAACATATTTACTATAGATGACTAAATAAGTAAAAAATGACTTAATTATATTGTATGATATATGTAGAATTATACTCTAACCTCCACTTATAGATGGCTAAACAAGTTATAAATGACTAAATTAAATTATATTAGTTGTTAGAATATATAATTTATGTCACGAATTGAAAATCTTTAGACTCATTACATAGTATTCTACATCGTAGCACACACAATAATATTCAAGTGAACACGCTAGTCGTAATCTACTATTAGGACTTCAAGTGTTTTTGGCGTAATAGGACAAACACATCTTGTCTAAAATATTTTGACCCATGACATAATAATCCAAACTACTGCACACTTATAAACTCAATATCAATTAGCCAGAAACATTTCAAAGAAGTATAACTTGGTTGAGCTGGTAAGTACTTCAGCATGGCTCCGATGTACTCCCTATAGATTTTAATGTACCAATTCTTATCAAATTATGTACCCGGGCTCTGCTTTCATGTAAATAAAAAATATAACATTATGACATAAGTGGGTAATTGTGTACCTGCATACTTTAAATGAATGCCCGAAGTGTATGAAATGGTAATCAACTCATATTTACTATAGATTGTTAAACAAGTAATGAGTTACTAGGGTAAGTTATGTTGATTGTTACTCATATACCACTGTTCCTATGGATTGATTGGTTATTAAGACCTATTACCCAGTAATACACACCGTAGCACACAAAATAATCTTTGGTCTACAAAGGTAGAAAGAGGAAGTACTCTCACCGAGTTCGCGCATTGGACCCTCTGCATGGGATTGACTAAAATAAACTACATTTGAAGATACCTGGTACTACAAATCTAACGCCTATGAAATCATTATTTATATCTCTTATATCGAGGTTTATACTCGGCTCACATGGTTACATACCAGAATCATAAATGTAGATACCCTATATAAGATATTACGTACCTACAATAACAATTAAATATACTTCAGTTACGATTACATATGCTCTGGTAACCTATAGCTGGAGAATATGCATTTTTGCTTAAAATATTCACTAAATGACAGTAACCATGAATGAATTCAACCATAGTAGTATTTCTCGTAACACCCCAAAGTGTATGGAAATATAAACAATACATATTTACTATAAATGGTTAAGCAAATCATAAATAATTAGTTAATTTGTATGATAATATTCCAACATTCACTTGTAAATGACTAAACAAGTCATGAGTAAGTAAATTAAATTATGTTGGTTGTTAGTATAAATGACTGATGTCATAAATTGAAATTCATTAGAGTTATTACGATTAATCCACATTGTTTCATACACAACATTTAGTGAATAACATACTTGTATAGCGCATGACTCAACTAGATAGGAAAATGCTCCAAAGCGGGCCTTCCATACCCCCAAACTCGCATGGTGTACAAAATCCTAGTAATTGTGTACCTTCTGTAGTTTAACGTATAACTGAACAACGTAATCTTATGGCAAGGTTTTCGAATTGTGTACCTTCATGGCTCCATTTAATGCCTGTAAGGATTTAGCATATAACCTTCATAGATTCCGAAACAGATTAAGACTTAATCCTCATTTGTATGTTTCTAACGGATGTGACATGATCAACACAGTATGTTCGTGTACTTTATGTCACTGCGATTATTAATTATCAAGACCACACTGATATTGTTGGGACAGTAATACGCTACCACCAGATGTGCTTCGATAGATCAACTAAATACTCCTCCAGATAATTCGTGTGTCTCTATTCATTTATTTGAAACCTTGTGTCATTGAATTATCATACATAAAGGAGAACTGTCACATACCCATTGTTCATGTTCATATACCATCAGAATATCCAAATTACAACAACAGTTATATTCTTGCTATTGTATATTTACCTTCCACATTACATTTTTATCAATTATGTCAAATGTAATTACACACCAAAAAGGACATTTAGAACAAAAACAAAAATTACACTTCAAAAGGCCTACGGTACCGCAGCTTTACAATTTCTTTTGTCGTGCCCGAGACGACCACAACGTTCACATTTTCGTGACTATTTTATTTGCTGCGAGTCATAGCATCATTTTTTCGATTCATATTACAATATGTCTTCTCCTTTGAAAAAATATCATGGATAACTCTGTCGAGCTACATCTCGATGTTTTCTCAACATTCTGCCAACTCATCGCCTTTCAATCCCTCTGCGCCTAGCCGTGTCTCCTCACCGCTGCATAAACATTAGAAAGATAACACATACATCTCATTATTCCGTTCCAATGTCACAACACCCGCTCCGCCACCACCTCCATGTCGCCACAACACCCGCTCATCAATGCCCTTCAACTCGCCGCCTTCTCCGACTTCAATGGCATCATTTGAATCAATTTTTTTCCCTATCCGACAAGCCCCACCCGGCTTAAAAAAATTGACAATGCATCCAAAATGCTCGATCCTGGGCACGACGCCATACACATTTCGCAAAGTCCTCACCAAATCCAATCATTTAATCGTCATATCCAAATAAACACATGCCACGAGAGAAAAAGTAAACGTCACCTGATTGAGATGAATTCCCGAGTCCTCCATCCTCGAAAACAAATTGACATCCTTTTTTTCTTGCAACATTTGTTGCAAGCCTGGAGATCATAGCGTTCCGTGTTATTATATCTCGTTCAGGCATTTCGTCGAACATCTTCTCAGCAGAACAATCGGTTGAAAAACCAAATATTCACAAATAGATTTTGAATATATTTACAGATGGATATGTTTGAAAGTTTTTTAAATGTGAGTAAGCATCATCGAGTAGGGCATTATAATTTTCCACATAATACCCTGATTTTACCCCTAATCGATATATAGTTACTAACCTAAAAAAAAAATTGAGGTTTGTCGATTTGAGCGCGGAGCAATGGGTGTTCGAGATCGACAACCGGCGAATGAATAAGTGATGAAGATCAAAAGAGTGTGAGCGACCAGCACGGCGGGTTCAATTTTGTAGTTGCCGGTGTTTCTTCGTGGATTTTGTGATCGAAAAATAATTACAGAGGTTTCTTTTTCGTTGGGTGGGGAAGGAGGGTGAAAAGGGAGGAAAAAATAAATAATATGAAAAAGGAGGGAGTGCAGCCCAAGTTTTATCAAATAGGGACTGAATGTAAATAATTTTTGGCAAATAAGGATTTAAATCCAATTCTACCTTTATTTATAGGCATCAACAAAGATTCTAGAAGGTTGGCAACTATTGATAGTTAACATTCATCTGGCAAATAATTTGTATTAATTCATTCCAATATTTGCAAATTTCAAGGGTCGGTCTTTCTCCCCACGCCAGATTAACTACTTGTAGCCTTTGGAGGGTAAGTCAAGCAAGAGTTGAACTGATTCAAGAAAATTAATAGCAGTCTCTGACTGACTGTGTAGCTTGTGAATCTAAAAACTTCATGAAAAAAATTTGTGATTCACAAACATAAAATGTTTCATTTTTCCATATCTTTGTAATCATAGTTTAATGGCGTGCTTCAAAACTAAAAAATACTAAGATATATAAAATCATAACAAAAGAGTAAACACGTAATATTCTTTGGTATGTTGGCACATTTAAGCACATAAAATATTTTAAAATTGTAACATAAACTCATTGAAATTTCTAGATGAGTGTGCTACAATCATAAAAATGGATATAAAACCTCCTAGCGAACTAAGATACTGTATTAAGGGAATTATCTAACTTAAATGAAATAACGTAACTCGGAAAGAAGTAAATTGTACTATAAATGAAATGAAGTTAAACTAGAAAATGATAAGTCGTACTAACAAAAA